GTCGGGGCGGACGGGGCTTCTGCACGGGTGAAGGGCAGGGTTAGATTTAGGCAGCAGCTCTCCTGCCAGACCTGGCTGAGCTGCCCGGGCTCAGCAGCCCTGAGGGCTGGTGCTGGGGCTGTGCAGAGCCTTGCCATGCGAAGGGAAGGTGCTTCCCTCACTGGCTGCCCCGATCCCTAGCCCCGGGGCGTGCAGGTGAATCTGAAATGCCGCTCCTTGCTCCCTCTGGATGCACTGGATGCATCGGCTCCTGCGGGTGCTGCCAGCTCCCTAAAGCTCTTCCTCCTTTGCTGACCCCGGCTCACAGTGGTGTGTTGCTTTCCAGGGACTTCTGCATCCTTCTTTGGCCAGAGCCCCTCAGGCCTTGGAGAAGGCGCCACTTCCCCTGGTAGTGAGCGAGCTGGTGCTTCAGCCTCGATGAGCTGATGGGTCGTGTCGTCCCCTTGGTCTGTGGGATGGCGGAAGGGCCAGGCTGTGGCGTAGGAGCCGGCTTGGGTGGTGGCTGCTGGGCTCTGGGGATGTCCCACTGGGACAGGGATTGTGGTAGCCCTGGTTCCAGCTCAGAGTGCAGCTGCAGAGACCTGAGCCAAACTTTGTGCTTCCAGGTTTGTCCAGCCCTGCCTCTTCGACCCAGGCAAGGTCCAGGATCCAGGGAGCTCTCAAGCGGCTAAAGGCACGGGACCATCATTGCCATAATAAGTAATAGCCAGTGCTGCTGGCCCCCCACCCGCGGGGCTCTGGTCCAGAGCAGCCCCGAGATGGGACTGGAGAGATGGGGCCAGGCCCCTTCTCTGCTGCCAGCAAGAAACCGTGCTGGGTGGCAGCGCCCAGGGTGGCACGGAGTGAACCAAACTCTTCCTACTGGAAGATTTCCCCACCGAGGCTGGATGAACGTCTCTGCGTCTCTGCAGCCTTTCCTTCTGGCTTTATTTTGCCTTCTTTCCTAAGGTGCAGACCTTTGCTCCAGCCCTGGCAGTCTCTCCGCTCCCTTCTCTTCCCCTCTCTGCTGGTGCCCCTCCCCATGTTTGGGTGCTCTGGAGCCAGCTGGGGAGTCCAGAGCGGATGGGGATCCTCCCCAAATCCAAATTGTTTTCCGTCTGTGGCTCATCCCCACCCCTTTGGGGTTTACCAGCTCTCAGGAGCTGCGGTGCTGTCTACCTCGGGGCCGTTCAGTGGGAGAGGGGCAGAGGCTGCCAGAGCCAGGGCTCACCCAGGAGCTGCCCCCCCTGCCCGCAGGGTCCCCACCACCCCCAGGAGGGCTTTGCTGCCGGCTCTTTTACTCTCTGAGCCGTGTGAGTGTGTGTGTCGGGGGCAGTCTAAATTACAGAAACCCCACAAACATTTAAATGTTCTTTAATGCAATAACACTTTGGTTTTATAGCTGAGCTGTTACAGCAGCTCCTTGCTTCTAAACGGTGATGTACGTGGATGTGACTAAACCTGTCCAGTTTGGTTTTTGTTCTTCCCCAAGGAGGAGGACAGCTCCGACACCAACTGGCCTTTTGGACCATCTGCAGCCAAACAGCAGCGGCTGTGAAGATCCCTTGAAGATTTTATTGTTCCATGTTTGTTCTTCGCAGGTTCTAATATTCTTGTTCTACTGTTGTTCTCTTGTTGTTAAACTGTAGCTGTTTTGTTGTTTTATTGTTATTTCTATTTACTGGATTCTTGTTATACTTTTGTTCTACCCTTGTTGTTGTAACAATTAAACTTAAGTTTTTACCGTAATTTCACTATCATTTTACTATTTCTTAACTGTCAATATGTAATTCCCACCCCCCACTGCACCCCCCATCCCTTTTTATGTCCCCACTTCGAATAAACAGTCTGTGTTCACATCTGCCTTTCCCGCGTTTGATTCCTGGGCAAGGGCGCAGGGTGCCGCCTTCCAGCTCCCTCTGCTTGTGGGTACTTGCTTCCCCTGTTCCAACACAGCTGTGTGGTCCAACAAGAGGTGTTATTATTATTATTATTATTATTATTGCTCTTTATTATTTTCACTGGTTTTCCTCCACTTTGCTTCCACTTGGAGCAGTGGCAATTTCAGTGCAGGACTGCAAAAACGGGCTGGAAAGGACAGCGGAGAGACAGAAACTCTGCTCTGGGTCATCCCTACAGTAATACTAAAAGCATGGTACCTCCGGGGCTGATCAGATGACAGTGAACAGCCAGGGCCAGGTCGGCTGCCCCATCACCAAGCACCACCATGGGGGTGAAAACCGGGTACAATGGAGCAGCCAAACTTTTAAACCTCACTGCTAAAGCTAACCCAAACCTGTAATCCTAAAACTAACTCTACACCTAACCCTAAAACTCAGCCTAAACGAAAACCTAATCCCGAAGTCTAACCTTAACCCAAAACCCTAAACCTGCCCCTAACTCCTAAACTGTGCATCCTAACCAGAACACTAAACATAACCCTAACCCCTAAGTGTAAACCTAACACTAACCCAATCCCTGCCCTTAACCCGAACACTAAACACTACCCCTAACCCTAACGCTAAAGCTACCCCGAACTGTAGCCCTACCCCCTAACCCAAACCCTAAGCCTAAACCTAACTCTAAACCCCCTAGCCTTAGCAATAACTCTAACACTAACCTTAAACTTATCCCCTACCCCTAATGCTAACCCTAACCCAAAATTGCTCATGTACTGGGACGAGCAGTTTGTAATCCACCTCCATCAGCTACTGCAGGTGTCTGAGGAGTGGGCACTCAGGCAAGTCCCAGAGAAACTCTTCCTTTATGCACTGGGAGCTGCCTGAAAGGTCAGGAGCCGATACACTAGCCCTGGAGAACATCGTGGCCTCACCATCCTTGGTCACCCAGCCTCAGCTTTTCACGGTCCTTTCCCTCACCCACTTTCAACACTCACCTCTTCTGCTTGGGACATGACTGCTCCTCAGAGCCCACCAAGCACTGCTCCTCCCTTGCAGGACTCCTGCCGCTGCTCCCAGCCTGCAGCACATTTTGAGGCACAGCTGACATCGGCTGCGAGGGGACACTGAGGAAGAGGCAGCGAGGTGTCTTGGCACTCCCAGAGACCCCTGCACCCCCGTGGGGCACCCATCCCACTGGCTACAGGCCCATAGCATCCCCAGCAGGAGGCTGGGAGTGATAAAAAGGATCTTTGGGAATTGGCACACAAAGTTGCTGCTAGTCCCAAAAGCAAGATCCCAGCAGTGGCCAAGGGCACAGCCCCGCCTCTGTGCCTTGAGCACGCGTTCAGCTGCAACCTAGGGCAAGCTGGGCTCTGCTACAAGGCGCTGCAGTGAGGACAGGGCAAGCACAGTAGCTCAGAGATGGTGCCTGAGAAGTACTCTGGGCTGCTGCCCAGCAGGAGTGAGGGCCCTGCAGGCAGAGCAGAGTGCCATCAGCCTGACTTCCCCTGCTGGCGCTTCCTGTGCCACTTCACTTCTGCACTCACACCCTCTCCTGTGGGCTCAGCTTGGTGCTAACATGACCCATCTCTGAAGGAGAGCCCATTCACTAAGTCCTGGGTCCTTGGGGAAAAATGACCTCTCCAGGGCCGTGGGAAGCCTTCTCCCACCTTCACCTCCTTGTGAGCACTGAGCCTGGCGCAGCTGCTGTTGTACAATGAAGAGGGGGTGCGTGTGTACTGGGGGCTAGCCCTGTGCCAAACTGGGGGCAGAGCGTGGCAAAGGCTCTGGTATTTCCAAGGGCACCTGGCTGGTAAAGAGGGAAGCACTCTGGTCAGGAGAAATAGGAGGAGAAATAGGTTTGAGAAGGTGGGATGTAAACATCCTACCATACAGCCCCCCCCTTCCCACACACTTCATCCTTCCTGAGGGTGCTTCAACACAGGGCCTTCCCTTGGAAGGTGCCTCTGTTGGTGCCTCAGTTCCAGACATAGCAACTGGAAGGACTTTTGTGTCCTTTAAGAGAGGAAAAAGAAAGAAAGAAATGAAGCTGCTCCTCTCACAGGGGAGAGGAAGCTGTGACTTGTGCAGTTGCAGTCCTCCCCCAGGAAGGTTTTTCCTTTCTCTGGGACTTTCCCCACCTGGAGTTGATTTAATCACTTCTGCCTGTCCCAAGGACTTGTAGCAGTGGTGTGATGCTGTTTGTCTGCAGTTTGCAGAAGGGGAGAGCTCTGTCTGGACACTGTCCTCAAGGAAGCCGTGCCATTTGAGTGTCTTCTATGTAGGCCAAGTCAGAGCCCCACAGGATCAGGGCTTTTCGGGAACAAATGGATTCACAGAGGATTAACAGACTGCCCCTATGTCAGGTGGTGCGGTTCAACCTTCCTCTGCTCGGGAAGCATCGCTGCCATCGGCGCACAGAGCCTGGGCAGGGTGTGGGTGCCCAAGAGCCAGCAGTTTCGGGCTTCCTTCCCTCCCTCCTCCTGCACAGCCCGCTCTCAGGCCCCCAGTGGCAGGCATTTTGTCCCCCCCCGTGTCTGAAGAGGACTTTCACAAGTGTCCCCATGTCCCGTCAGCTCCCCGCTGCCGTTCTGACCAGCAAGGGTCGAAGAAAAGGCTCAGGAACCTGAGCAGAGCTTTGGCAGAGCCAAGCTACCCAACCGAAAAGCTGCCCCCCATAGCTTCCCTCTGCCCAGGCACGCTTCCTGCCTAGGCTTTCATTGTCCCCGGGGCACTGCTCCATGCACCTCTGACACAGCTGGCCTCCAGGTCCAGGGCCCTGGCTCTACAGGACCCCGGGTGCTGCCCTGGCAGCTCTGTTGCCCTGGGCACCCGGCACTGAGCTTCCTTCTCCTCTTCCCTCCTCTCCTCTCCACCCTCCCCAGCAGAGCTGTGCAGCCATGGCAGGGCACACTGCCAGAGACCAGAGGGTGCAGGGACCACCGAGAGCAGGGCTGCAGCCGAGCTGCCACAGCAAAGCCTTGCGAGAGGGCTGCCCTTCAGCAGGACTGAAACTCCTCTGTCCTGCAGTGGCCTTGCCCTGCCCCACCAAAGCTCATCCCCTGCTGGGTGCGTATTTCACAGCCACCAAGGAAAGACCCCCCGTGTCAGAGACAGTGCTTTGCATAGAGGTCTTTACTGATCAGATGGAAGCATTGCTGCTAACAGCCTGGCTGGCCGGCACTGCTGCTGCTTGTGATCCTGGAGGAGGCTTTTGCTGGACTTCAATCCTGGGAGCCTCTGTGCCTCAGAGGCTTTCCTGGATCCCGCCGTTGTGCACTGGATCTGCTCCCCAGAGCTGAGGAATTGAATACAAAGCTCTGGAGGCCTGCGTGCAGAGAGAGGTGCAGAGCAACACGACAGCTCTAGTCAGGACACATGTGGTGAGATCCGCTTCTGGCTGGAGAGATCAGATCCATGGTGCCTGGGATGCGATCCCAGCCTGCAGCGCTCCACACCATGAGAGCTGTCCGGAGAAGCCCCTCTTGGCCGAGGAGTTGCAGGAAGTCAAAGGAAGAAAGGGCAGTGCTGAGCAAGGGGCATGCTTGGTCATCCTTACATGAGGGATTCCTCCTCACCACTGATACCGGGAAATAAAGGGTTAACATTGTGCCTGCTTGCTTAAACGGTCGCTGTGCTTGGTAAAGCAGAACCATAGAAGTCAAATTTGTTAGAATGATGAAGCAGAATTGTAGAAGTTACAGCTGCTAGGCAGAATTGTAGTAGATAAGATTCATAGCTTAATATTTAAGACATTCTTGTTCAAATAGTATCTTTAGAGAGAAAAGGGACAAAAGATAGCCAGAGTAACAAAATTTACAAACTTGACAAGTTTCTGCTTTAAGATACACAAAACCGGCTTGTACCGAACCTGAGGTTTGGACAGGAGCCGAAACGCTATTGAGTCTGCGCAAAAGCAAGAGGTTACTCGCGGTGATGAAGAGGAACTACAGGCCTTCATCCTCACGACCCCCTAACGACCACCACCAGGAGGCACTGCGCAGGCGCACCAATGGGACAAATGCCAGAAAACTGATCATAATACTAGACGGGAATAGGTTTTGCATATGGATTAGGTGTGAAGCAATCTCATGTTTATATGCAATATAAACGAACTGAGTGACAAAGAGGGGCGCGCATGCTTTTGGAGGAGAAACCCCCATGCGCCTCAGCGCCGAATAAAGCATACCTACCTTACAACTCTAACGAGTTGTGGAGTCAATCCGCGTATCACCAGCACAGAAACGCTGTTCCGCTACTTTCCTGAGGAGGCGGGTCACTGCTCTTCGCAAAGCCCACTGGGTCCCTGGGGAAAGTCTCCTACCACAACGAGGAGGAAGTCTCACATCTTGACCGAGACCCTCCTGCCTCTCCCCTCTCCCAGTCATACCCACCCTATGGTCCCACTCAACCCCACACTGCTGACTGTGCTTGGGGCTGCAGAGAGGCACCAGGCATCGGGGATTGAGCCCGTGAGAAAAGAAAGGATCCTATCCTTGTCCAGACCCATCGCTCTGGGGTTTACTTCCCCCCCTCCTGGCTGGGCCATCAGCCCCCAGCTGGCCCAGGTCTGTCCTGAAGCTGGTCCACACTCACCTTTGCACATATGAGTACTGCGAAGGGCAAAGACTCAGACTGTGCTCTGGGCTCTCCTCATCCTCTCCTGGTGTCTTGCCAGCACGTGGGAATGCCACGAATGCAGGACCCTGAACAGAGAGAGGTGAGCAGCGGCGCTGTCGCTGGGCAATGGGAAGGTGCCTCGAGCTGGTGCAGTCCCCAGAGGACAGTCAGCCCCCACGCTCCTATGCCTTAGGGACCTTGGCTCCCTGGAGGACAGGAATGCTCTTTTCCTAATTGTTTTTCCCTGCGGCAGTACCTGGACCTCCCATTGCTCTTGCTTTGCATTCCAAGCCTTCCGGGGTGCCACTTTCGCCCTCGTCTTCTGCTGGTACTTCTTGCGCAACGAGTCCCAGAGCTTGCGTTTTTCCTCCTCCTCCTCCTCCACGCTCCCGGAGACCGGCACCTGCAGGGCCATGGCAATGCAGCAGTGGGCACTGTCAGTCTCCCCTGCAGAGGGCTGGGGGAATTTTAGCTCTCCCCCTTCTTTCCAGCCTCTCCACCAGCCCTGGTTTGCTTGCAGTCACAAAAGCACAGAATCATCAGTGTAGGAAGGGAGCTCTGGAGATCATCTGGTCCTAGAAATCCAGATTATGTTGGAGATAAAGTTCTGGGGTTCTTGGCCTTGCAAAGAGGTGTCTGTGGGTTTGCAGACAGAAAATTGGGTACTAATTATACTAATGCATAACATGTACTAACGTACTAATTATACTAGTGTGTAATATACTTTTATATGTCGTGAGCACTACAAATGTCAAGCTACTTTCTTGTCTGGTTGTTCGCCTAAAAGCATTTTATCATACATTTCTACAGATGTTTTAGCCATTATGTCTGTAACGAAATGGCTGGACAGCAGAGAAAGAATGCTGTACTGCTCCTTGAAGAATAGATTTAAAAGAAACCCTAAACACACAAAAAACATCCTGACTATGACACCACTGTATCATCTCCAGTGCTCTATGTTGCCTTTAAATGTGCCTAGATTAAACTAGAATCCCTCATAGAATAGTTAGGGTTGAAAAAAACCAACTATATGTATGAAAACCCAGGCTGCAAACACACAGGAAACACACATCAGCGCATCCAGTCCCAAGCAATTGGTCCAACGCTTCTCTCCCCGGGGTTGACATTCCAGCTGTGTTTAAATCTGCAGTGCTGCCAGTGCTGGTTACGGCTGAGGAACCTGAGCTGCAGCCTCTGGGCTGAAGCCCCATCCTGTAACCCCTATCCCACAAAGACCAGTCCTGACCGGACCTGCAGTCATCTTAGCACAGTAGAGCCACTGCAGGCTCCCACTGGAGGCTGCAGCTCATGTTTCTGATCCAAGTAATAACAACATTTCCCATTAGGAATATGCTGTGGTTTTGTGATCTCCGCCTATTTCTTCTGCTGCGAACGAGTGGACTTGGCAGGGTGCTTGGGTGGAAATCACAGTCCTAGCAGCAGAGGCTTGGCAGAGGTCTATATGAAACAAAGAGTGCCCAAGAAGGCAATGGAGGGCTTGGGGAGCACCTGAGGGCTTTTGGAGGGCTGTGGCGTGAAAATGAAAGCAAATGTAAGACACTGGGGTATACTGCAAACAAAATGGGGGGCTCTGGTTGGCACAGAGAATGTCCTCTGGCCCTTCCATTCCCCTCCATGTACTCTATTCCCCCACATGCCACTGCAGTCCCTTCCATTCTTCTCTAGGCATTCTCAGGATCCCTCTGTTCCTTTCTGTGGACTCTCAATTACTCTCCGTTCCCTTGTGAGTGCGTGTAGATCCACTCTGCTCCCCTACCTGTGAGTTGGAACCCCACAGTTCCCATGTATGCATGCTCATATCTCCTCCACCCCTCTTTCTGCACCCCCCAGTCCCTGCCATCCTTTCTGAGTGCCTTACATCCAAACTATGTCCCTGCTACATGCTTTCAAATTCCCTTCTGGGTGCTCCTAGATCAACTTGAACTCATTCTGTTCATTTCAAAGCACTCTCAGGTGCTCTCCAGTCCTATCCAGCTGCTTTGATATCCTCTCTGTTCCCCTTGTTGTTCTCTCTTGGAACTCCTCTGTTGTGCTCCCTGCACAAATAGATCCCCTCAGTTCCCTCTTACATGTTCAAGTGTCCTCCATTTCCCTCTGTGTGCGCCCAGATCTCCTCTGTTCCCTCCTCAAATACTCAGATCTCCTCTGTTCCTTTCAGTGTCTGCATAGGGCTGACTTCTCCCCTCTGTGCATACTTAACATCACTCTTTTCCATGACAAGCACCACTCAGATCTCCACCAACACCCAGATCCCACATCCCTTCTGTGGGTGCTCAGTTCCTATGGGTTCCACTGTCGGATCCCTTCCACTCCCTCTGTGCACCCTCAATTCCCCTCCACCAGCTGCTCCAAACACTGCCCCACAACAGTCAATCTCTCTGGGAGCTTTGGGGTTGCTCTGACTTACCCACCAAGAACTAGGCTGAGATTGTCAAAAGCACATTAAACAAGAACCAATTGACGTGGCAGCACCCATTTGTTCTCCACACTGGTTGGTGATTGGCATTCAAGTGTTTATTGACTAAGCTGCGCTCTTCAAAGCTCCCAGATATGCTGTTCCCAGGGGAAATTCCATCCAAGGAGCTAAGCACTCACAGAAGAGACCATTCCAAGGACTCTTGCTGGCAAGGGGCTTATTTTCTTCACAGCTCAGGAAGCCGTGCACCTAGAACCACAGGCACCTTCGACTCTGCTCGTGTTTTATAAGGGCACAAAGGAAACCCAGCCTGATTTCCTCCTTCAGGACAAAGGAAGCCAGGAGTGGGCGTAGGACCCATTCACCCCACCCACCGCAGAGAGCACTACAAATGCCACTGTGAGCCCTGCCATTCCACAGCTTTGTGCTCCAGACGGCATTCCTGCTTGGACACCATGGGTGAGTAGAGGGCTGGGAAGCAGGATGCTCCCTGATAGCAATGGGAGGAGCACAGTTTGGGCAGCTCAGCAAGAGGGACTCACACACAGATGGGGAGCAACGGCACTGGTGCCCTCTGAGGGCATACTGACCTGCCACCCCTTCAAACACTAGCAGCTTGTGCCCTGCCTTCTGGCTCACCCCAGCCAGTCCCCTGCTTTAGGGGCCAGGAATGAAACCTGACTCTGCCAGTTGCTGGGTTCTTTGCTCCACCCCAAACTATCTCACACAGGACCTTCTGAAAGCTGGTCAAGGGTGAGAGGCAAGGTTGTCTACTCCTTGAGCTAAAGAGTAGAGGCTTTTAAGCAAGCTTTCCAGCTTGCACAGACCAGTCTGATGCTGCCCACTGTGCTTGGTACACTTGGTCCTGTTACATGGTGTGGTGCTGAAGCCATGGGATTTCCTGCCTCTCTAGAGGGAGGGTCACATCTCATCTTGTCTCTATCTTTTCACCTTCTAGCAGTCCAGTGCCTTCTACTCCTTGCTGGCGTGTTGGTCTTGGCTGCCCCAGGCCACTCCATGCTTGCACAAACCCTAAACGTCTTCAAGAAATCTCCCTCCAACACTTCGGCCAGTGCTCTGAAGAAAACCAGTATGTAGCATTCTGTAGGCATAGCAGTGCTCTCACCAGCCCCTTTCAGTGCCTTGGTCTGAGTCAGCCCTGGCTGGTGAAAAGCCCCTGCCCATGCTTCGGGCCAGTGGAGGCTTGATAAAGTGGAACTCCCGTCTGGGAAAGGGTGTGCTATGATGCCTCAGATCCTAAAAGCACCTCCATAATGTATACGAGCAGGAAGGCTGGAGAGATGTGGCATCAACCCCAGGCTTTGCTCAGGTGGAAAGAGGAGCTCTGCCTATCTGGCAGGATGATCTTAACTGCAGTGGGAAGTCCTGCAGTCAGCAAGCTGAAGGCATGGGGACACCACACCTGCAAGTACATGGGGGAACCCAGTGTTGTGTGCTCATATACAGCCAGCTCCAGGTGGCGAAGGGGTCTCCCCCATCCCCAGCCCTGGCCCTGCTCCGGGATGGTGGATATGAGGAGGTGTACCCAATGCAGGCTGCAGCGCTGTGTATGTGTGTGTGTGTGCACTTTGCAGACTGGTTAAGGGTGTCTGTGTGCTTGAGGGGTTACTTGTCTCCTGTTCCCTTGGTCACAGGCAGGGGCAAGGTCCTCTTCACCTTCCCCACAACATGACCCTGTTTTAGTGGCACAACCCCATTTTCAGGGGACCCAAAGGAGCCCGCTAGTGTCCTGGACTGACAGCAGCATAGCCATGTGTGTCTGGGGTCTTTCAGTGGGGCTGCCTCCTGTTAGGTGTCCCAGATGGAAGAGGAACAGAGGCTGAGGCTAACGTAGTCTCACCTCCAGTTAAGCACATTGACTTCTCTAGGCTGGGACAGCTGATTATCTGCCAGGTACGCTGGCCAGATGTCCCTATATCCTGCCACAGGGTGAAACATGGTCCTGTTTTGTTGCATACAGTCTTATTAAATCACCCTCTCTCCTGCCCAGGTTGGCCTAAGGACTGCAGTGAGGTCTCTGCTGGCAGCCCCAGTAGTGTCTACATCATCCAGCCCACAGGACTGGACCCCATCGTGGTGTACTGCGAAATGAATGCGACAGAAAGGGGCTGGACGGTCATCCAGAGGAACCGGCAGAGCACGGAGATCACCTGGGCTGAGTCCTGGAGCACCTACAAGTATGGCTTTGGGGATGTGCACACCGAGTACTGGCTGGGCACTGAGTACATCCATCAGATCGCCAAGCAGAAGGTCTACCAGGTCAGATTTGTCATCCAGGACTCCTCAGACAACATCCATTTCGCAGACTACAACCTCTTCAGTGTAGAAGATGAGTCCCACGGCTACCGGCTGAGGCTGGGCTCCTACGCAGGGACAGCAGGGGATGCCATGGACTCAGACAATCCCAGGAAGGTGCACAACAACATGAAGTTCTCCACTAAAGATCGGGATCAGGACACTTACAGAGGGAACTGTGCCTCCCGCTATGGGGGTGGGTGGTGGTATTCAGCCTGTTATTCTGTACGGCTGAACGTCAAGGGGGGCATGACATGGGGCAGCCTGTGCAAAGGGAACTGCAAAGCTTCTGCCATCCTCATCAAACCAGCTCTGTACCATTAGTACCCTTTCCCCCTCCTGACTGCTTTGGGCAGACATGGGGGGCCATTTTGCTGGCTTGGGGTGAAAAGGCTTTTTCCTGTACATAAAAAGCTGTTTTCCTCTTCTCTTGAAAAGTACCAAAGTTCCATGTTTTGTCTCTGGCCTGTGGTGGGTTTGTAGGGATCATTGTTAGGGCAAGTCTTTATAAACGCTGTGGTTTCGAATCATGTTCCTTCTCGGGAGAAAACTGTGTTCTGAAACCTAAAACCCTCCTGATCCAGCCAGATCTTATTCTCTTTTTGCTTTGTGGGTATAGATAACTTCAGCAGAAAACTGTCAGTCATCACTAGCTAACCTGCTGTAGGTTGCTCTGAGCCCAGGCAGGCCATGTACACACCATATCCCTGCCGTAGTCTCTGTTCATCCTGCAGAATAAAACTGCTTTCAGAACCCGTGCAGACGTAAGAAGTGTCCTTCTCTGTTTGGCAGCTTCTCGCAGGTGCTGCCAGTTTCATGCCAGGGGCAGACCTGAGGTTCCTGCTACAATAAGACTTCCAAAGGAAATTTTTTTCATGAGGCTCATGCCGCTCCTCCGTGCCCTTCCCAGCACAGTCCCACCGCAGCAGGCCTGCACTATGGCCACGGGGCAGGCTGTGTGAACATGGGTCTAGCTAACTGGGAAAGAGGGGCCATCCCCAAGCCCGTGTGCTCCCTGGCCTCTGGCCAAAACACAGGCGTGGATCACCCATGGCCAGCCAGGCCTTGGTGGGTCCTGGCCACCCAACATCACTGGCTCCAGGGTGGGAAAGCTCTGGCCATGCAGCAATCAATGTGCTGCTGCCCCCAGGAGCCCCACAGCCCCTTGCCCCCCACTACAGGAAGCCCAGACTGAGCTCCATGGGGCTGCCCTAAGACCCCTCTCCCCACCCTGTGGGGTCTCAAAGCACTACATCCACCCCATGGCAGGAACCCCCCTCCTGGTGACTTGAAACCCCCCAGGGGCATCCCTGACCCCCCCCACCCCCTTGCTCCAGGATGGAGCTGGGACTCCAGCTCCCCCAGCCATGGCACGGAGCAATGCAAGGAGACAGTGAGTCTCAGAGAGGGGATTGTCCTGGGTTCAGCAGTAGCAGTCATGTTTCTCCTTCTTGGTAGCTGGTTCAGTGCAGTGTTTTGACTTTCAGCTGGGGAACAGAGCTGATAGCGATGTTTTGGTTTGGCCAAGGACTTTGTGAGCCTCATGCTCTGCCAGGGAGGAGGGGAAGCCAGGAGGAGGCAGAGACGGGACACCTGACCCAAACTGACCAAAGAGGTATTCCATCCCACAGCACGTCATGCCCAGGATGTAACTGGGAGTTAGCCGGAAGGGCTGGGAGACTGCAGGGTTGGAGGAGGTATCGGTCGGAGCTTGGTCGGGCTTGGGGGGTGAGTTATCGGTCAGCGGGTGGTGAGGAGTTGTATTCTGTTCCCTTGTTATTTCCTTTATCATTATTATCATTGGTGGTAGCAGTAGTGATTTGTGTTATACCTTAGTTACTAAACTGTTCTTATCTCAACCCGTGGGAGTTGCATTCTTTTGATTCTCCTCTCCGTCCCTCCGAGAGCAGGGGGAGGGCAAGAAAGGGGGGGGAAGTGAGCGAACGAATTACCTGACTGGGTTTAAACCACGACAGGGATGCAGCAAATAGTGTCCCCCTACAATGAACACGATGCCCCCTCAGCATCCTCCATTTCCCCAGGACCCTGACTGCTCCTGTGTGTGTGCAGTGACACTGTGGCAGGTAGGCACAAGGCAGCCAAGTCTGGCTCCAGGGTTTATTGCAGCTGACGTCTCCCACCACGGGTAGCAGAGCTGTGGGGTGTAGGAGGCCCAGGGAGGGAGCAGGGCCTGAGCAAAGCAGGGATACACCGATTGCACAGGAAGGGAACTTGCACTGTTTCCCTCTGCCCAGGATAGGAGCGGGTGCACCCACCCCAAACCAATGCCTGCACCCCAGCACAGGCCAACACCACGGCACTGAGCGAAGCTGCTCCAGGTAATTGCTCTTGAGCCCCAGAGCCGCTGTGTTTCAGCTGGTGCTGGTGCAGAGGCTATGGGCAGAGCAGGACACACACCGGGACTGGCACAGAGCTGCTGGCAGGACAGGAATGGGGTGCTGAGCTGGGGACGGTGGCACTCTCCCAAACTCCCGGGAGGCTGGGCATGGCGGCAAGGTCAGCACACGTCTGTGGGTTTGACCAGGATGAGGGAGGATGCGCAGTCGCCATTATCACAGAATCCTGGCCAAAGGATGCGGTTTTTGGCATTGAGCAGGACATTCTGGCATCTGTCATACCACCAGCCCCCATAGCTGCTGGCGCAGTTCCCACTGTACTGGTCCTGGTCCTTGTCAGTTGTGCTGAACTTCATGTTGTCATGGATGCCCCCCTTCTTGGGGTGATAGAGGGTCAGATAGTCATCCCCTTCACCAGAATGCCGGCCCAGCCTCAGCGGGTACCCACTGGCCTCACTTTCCACCCTGAAGATGTCGTACTCAGCAAAGTGGGTGACGTTGGCTTTATTCCGCACAACGAAGCGGACCTTGTAGGTGCCCTGCTGTGTCAGCAGGTGCAGGTACTCGGTGCCCATCCAGTGATCGCCCTGTACATTCCCGAAGCCATACTTGTAGGTGGTCCAGGATTGCTTCCACGTGAGCTCAGTGTCGTGAGAGTTTCTCTGGACAACAGTCCAGCCCTTGCCTTCGGTGTCCATGTCACACCACACCACACGTGGTGGGGACCGTGCTGGCTGGATGACATACACCCCGCTGGGGCTGTTCTTGCGGAGATGGCTGCAGTCTGCGGGGAACCCTGCAGCGGCAGCAGTAGCAAACACAGGTTGGGGTGGGAGAGAGAAGGGGCATATGAGTCTTTCAGTGTAACAAGAAGCGCCTGCAGTGAATGAGGACTCAGGACAAAAAGGGCTGGTTTATCCGTGGTCTATTCCACAGCATAGATTGGTGTTTCCACGGGCTTATCCATAGGGCAACCAAAGGTCTCTGAGACAACGCCCCTGGTAAGAGACCTAGGATCTATTTATCATGACTTTCTATTTCATTTGGAGCCTTCTGATGCATTTAGCCAAGAAAAGGGGGAAAAAAGTCTTCCTGATGCCAGTGATGTCCTCCAAGGATATCTAGCCCTCACACAAGGCCCTTGATATATTGAGCTGTAGTTCTTGCAAGGACCATAAGTGCCCCAAAATGCTCCACTGGATGAGGGTATGTAATTAAAATTGATGTTTTCTCTAGAATCATGGCATTGCAAAAGAAGGCCAAGTTTCTCCTTCACAGGGACCTCTTCCATCAGCTTGTTGCAGTTTATCTGCTGGCAGGACTGATCTGTCATGACTTACTTGCCAAATTAATTTGCTGTCTAATTTGATTTTCTTTGTTTGTATCTGATGAGGGACAATTTGCTGTGGGCAGCTCCAATTCAGCACAGGAATTTCTGTTTCCCTCGGGCACACAGGTCTTGCAGGGAGTGTACCCCCCCCTTGCGGGGAGGAAGGGAATACTCCTGATCCGCTAAAATAAATAATTGAAAGAGGATGCTGGGAGGATCTCTCCTAGAACTGAAGTATAAAATGACACAAGCATCACAGAGCAATCCTGCCAAGTTATGGTGTTGGAACAGAAACCCCTTGGTTTCAGCATGAAGCCACCAAGGAGGTGAGGATGGTGTCACACTGCTTACCTTACAAACCATGGCCTAGGTGTGCATCAGCCTGCATGCACAATGGCCTTCCTAGCATTTGACAGACCTGAGAGTCAGCGCTGAGCTGAGGAGACACTGTCCTGCTCCGCACTTTGTGCCCAGCCAGTGTTCCCCACACACACTCCATACTCACCACTCCGGGAGCTGGCAGTGGGTGCTGCTGGGCCAGCACTTGCACCAAGGAGAAGCATCGCCACCACTGTGGGTAGGAGGAAAAGGCCCCCATGGAGCAAAGTTGTTCTAGCCTGGAGCCCTGGGAAGGGAAGGAAAGGGCCCAGCACCGTTAGGATCCCTGAGCAGTCCCCTTCACCCCTGCCAACAGCCCCCACGGAGCTGGGATGAGGGAAGGCAGAGGCATGGGGCACAGGCAGGAGCAGGGAGCTTCAGTGCAGGCTCTGCCCCTGCAGGGCTGAAGCAAGGTGAGAAATGGCTTTGTCACTTTTCCAGTCAATCCCTTCCCTGCACTATACAGTAACCTGCAGATCTGTTCTTGAAACCTACAGCCCAGGAGTACCTAAGAGGACAGTGACACGGCTAGATCTGGGGAGAGTAGTTTGCTGGGGAGGAAGACTGCAAGAAAAAGTTCTACCTGGAGTAATCATGCTTAAGCCTGTTATACAAACCACTCCAGCCCCATGACAGTTAGTGAGAAACCAGAGCCAACAGATGGGTCCTGTCCTGTTGCACAGATACCGGCTCCCAAGCAGACAGGAGGAAGTCTTGCAGTGACACAAGCCCAAACCCTCTGTGCTGGCCACCAGCACACTGCTACAGCTTGCACTAGCTCAGTTACTGGGGCAGATGCCATCACACCTGGGGAAGGAGCCCTGTGCAACCACATGTGCCACATGCATTGGTCAGAAAGGGAAAGGACCATGTGGAAATCTAGGTCTCCACATTAACTTCCCTTGACAGGACATGAGAATACAAGGCATAGGTAGCTTGGGGAAAGCATAGGCTGGCACCAAGCATGTGTGCCATTTGGTGCTTTTGCCTTGTGTCCCTTCTTCTACCATAGTGCCTCACAGCATGCATCACCCAGGCAAGATCACGGCTCCTGTCCTGCTTGCCACCTTGTGCCTCTGTATACTCACCCCAGTCATGCCTTGTTTGAGCCCAGCACCACACATGAATTAAGTGTGCTGCTGAGAAGATAACTCACCCATCACAACAGCACAGCTGAGCGGAGAGCAGGAACCCAGTGGTGCACCCTCCCATGCTGAGCTATCCACAGTGGCTTTATAGGCACTGCACACACCCACTTGTGTTCACACTTGTTATTTGTAAAGGCACAAGGAGGCACTTGCAGACTGTGACTGGACCAGTTTTCAGATCTCATGACAGCAACACAGCTAAACCCCTTGAGGAGAGAGAGGCATGCCCTTCCAGCCAGAGTGCAAAGTAATACCCTCCCTGATGAGGGGTTTCAATTATGGACTGTCCCAGTTACACAAACACTACACGTGAATTGCTCACTTGGAGCAAATTTTGGAGAGCCATGATCAAACTGAAGTGGTGAGACCCAGCTTTTTTAAGGACATACACACAGTAATTAGCAAAGACGGAAAGATTAGGTCTCCTATGTGCCCAGTCCCAAAGGTGACCTTGGAAAGATGAGGACAGGTCCTCAAGAGACATGTCTGCTTGCTAACTGGTGCCAACTAACCACTGGCAGGTTTCAGTATCAATGAGTTAAGTCACTGGGTTGGAACCAGGGTGCAGCAGCCAGAAGTCAGTGTCCCCTGGCACCCCAATCTGCATGCTTTGAGTAGAGGGCAAGGGCTCCAGGTAACAAGCAGGTGACTGTAGGTCCCTTCACCACTCTCCTTTCCAATCTCTGTCTTTGGCCTGGTGAGACCCTGCAGATCCCCAGAAACGTTGACATGGGGTTGCTCCCTTTGCAGGAACAAAACACTGTCAGGACTGATTGTCTGGGAAGACCGTACAGACAGCTCCAGCACTTTGTCAAACCAATGTCAAGAGGATAAAGATGTTTGGATAAAGATGTTTGTTCAAGAGGACAAAGATGTACTTTCTTCTCCTGTGTTGGTTTCAGTAGCTTGCTGATCAGATGTCTTTATGGCAAGCCAGTCTCCAGATGAGGCTCACACCAAACCTCTGTACTGCATGAGCCCACATCAAGCAATGCAACTTGCAGGTCTGGATGGGCAGCAGCATCCAGACCTCTCCAAGGTACTGGATCCATGGATCAACTTACATCTGAATGCTTACATGACACCCCTGCTTGCTAGGTTAGAGGTTGGAGCCCTTGTCTTCAACTTCATTTATTTCTCATATTCCAGTGGATGGTCTTCAGAATTGACACAGGTTTGCTGATTCAGGCTAACGTTGGACCTCTTTCTAAGAAGACAGCTGCAAAAGGACTTCTGAGAAGATACAGGTTGGAAGCAGAGCTAAGCCCAATTACCAGTGGTTGCACTCCTGAGAGGCAGAGCAAAGGGCACCATGGGCTCAAGGGAGGAGGATGAAGGTACAAGCAAGCTCTCTGGGATCAGCAAAGGCTGGCTGCTCCCAAGAGGCAAGCAAGTCAGAAGCCAAAGATGGACCCCATAGAGGCAATGCCCGCATTGGCAGAGCTCCATCCCTAACGGGTCTGAGAAGAGCAAGCAGAGCTGGGTGTTGGCAACAGCTCCAGGCAAGGCAAGCGGCAAACTGGGTCCGAGATCCTGGACAAAAGGACACAGTGCAAAAGGCAGGGCTGGAGATAAATCTACACCATGAATCTATCCATCCAGGAAATAAACTATCTACAGTGTATGTCTAAGATCCATCCAAAAAACAAGGCCAGAGAGGGAACTGGAGACCAGTACTGATAGCCCAGTGCTGAGCAGGCACTATGGGCTTAGGTGAAGGTCCAATTTGTTCTGGTCACCAGCAATTAAGTCCTGCTGGTGCACACAGGGTGATGACAGTAGCAGTTAATCATGAAAGAGCAAATCCCACCAGCCTGGCTGTCTGACCTCCTGCCCCATGGGCCCTCTGGCTTTTGCTGTAGCTCTCTGGGCTTACCAAGTGGCTTCTCAAAGCACATTCTGGTGCAGGCAGCTCTGCATCTAGCACAAGGCCCGGTGTCATGGCTTTGCTCCTGCAGATATACAGAGGCATAAGGGCTGGGGAGGGAGCTTTTCAAAGAACCAGAGAAGCACAGAGACCAGGAGGACCGCCAAATGCCTCTGAGCTGATCTCAAGACCAAAGCAGTGCTAACTTAGAATGGGTTGCTTAGGGCCATGTCTGCCTCAGGAGTGAAACTGTCAAGGAATGGAGTTCCCACAACTTCTCTCTCTCCCCACATACCCCAGTCTTTGAACACCCTTAGGCTGATTTTTTTCTGTTCTCTGATTTCCCTCTCCCTTTGTGTCCATTGCCTCCCATCCCATCCCTGTGCATCTCCAAGGAGATCCACGGAATTACAGGAATCACAGAGTGAGAGAAGAATTTAGGTTGGGAGAAATCTCTGAGAGTTCAATCCCTGCTCGAAGGAGATCTAAAAAACCAGGTCCTTGTCCAGCCAACTCTTGAATACCTCTAAGCGTAAAACTCCCACAGCCTCTCTCTGGGACCATGTTCCAGTATTTGACCAACTTCGTGTTAAAAAGAAGTCCCTAATTCTAACTGAAATTTCCATGTTCCAGTTTAGACCCATCACTTCTCATCCCATCACCATGCACATCCTTGAACAGTTTGGCTCCATCTTGTCTGCGTGCTCCCGTGAGGGAGAGGCAGTCAGCAATAAGAACCTCCCTGTTGCCTGCTCTTCTTCAGGTGGAGCAAGCCCAGCTCTCCCACATTATTCTGACACATCCTGAGCTCCAAGCCCTTGACCAGTCTGGTGGACTCCCCTGGATGTCCTACAGTATGTCAGTATGTTTCTTGAAATGAGGGGTCTAAAATGAGACACAGTGCTCTGGGAAGCTTCACTCTGCCTGCTCCCAAGGAACAAGGGATGGGACAAGAGGAAACGGCCTCAAGCTGCACCAGGGCAGGTTCAGATGGAGCTAAGGAACAATTCCTTCCCCAAAGGGTGCTCAGGCATTGGAACAGGCTGCCCAGGGCAGGGCTGCAGTCACCGTCCCTGCAAGTGTTCACACACTGTGGAGACGAGGCCTCAGTGCCATGGGGTAGTGGTGGCCTTGCCAGGGCTGTGATAAAGGTTGGACTTGATGAGCTGAAAAAGCCTTTTCCAACCAAAGTGGAAAAGTCCTATAGCAGAGAGGGACTTGAAGTGAGACCATTTTACATCACATTGCAATTCCCAAAACTCCCTTGTGATTGCCGCAAGGGCCATGTGCCGGGGCAGACTGCACCGGGCATTGCGCAAGAGGCAGCACGGTGTTGGTCAGCCAGGCACGTCAGCAGTACATGGAGTGGCACTTTCTGAAGGTAGGTGCACGGTTTCCCAGGAACACTAGAGTACCTCTTCTCTGAAGAGTCTAACGGGGTCCCCGGTGGCCCCATGCCTGCTCTGGAGAGTGATCTACGCCTGATGTTTGATTTCCACCCAGGAGGGGGAATGTCATTTGGGTACTTACTTATGTGCAGAGGTGCCCAGAGGATGCCATTCCCTGGGGAAACCCTGCCAGTGGAGGGGGCAGCCGGGCACTGTAAATCCCAGGTTTGGTTTAAGGCATTTGCTTATGGGCACCCAATTATTTGCTTTGCCTCTGAAGAAAGCTCTTCATCTTTGTGAGACACAGCCTCCATTCACTGAGGACATACCACTTCATGATGCAGAGCAAATAAGCCTTTAAACCATTAGTTCTGTTGCCAACCACAGGACAAGTGATTTGCGTCTTGTGCCTCCACCCCCTCACCTGCTGAGCCCTATAACTTTCAGGCTGGACACCCCTCCAGCCAGGCCAAAGCCACGCAGCTTCCCGCTCCGCAGGGTCTGTGCAGTGACGGCATGGGTGAGTGTGGGATGGGATGGGAGGGGCAGCACTGCTGCACGCAGCATCCCTGCACTTTGGCTTCTGCAGGGCTCCCTTCTCTCCACCCCCTGGCCACCCCAGCACTAAATCCATTACATTGTTTGGGCTCACTGTGCCCCAGGCTGGGAACTGGAGCCAGAGTCTGCATGCTCTGATGCTTTCAGGCTGTATCAGTGTATCTAGATTGTCAGCCCATTTGAAAAGCCTCATATTTATCAAACATTCTTCATAACTTTCAGTTCTCCAAGGAAAGTATTGAATACTCTAGAATAGAAAACTAAGATTTTAGATATTCTTGCTTAAGAAGCAATATTGAACAGGTATCAAGATCTGGAGGTTAGATGGTTGAAAGCATACTGTCCCCAGAAGAACAGCCAGGGGAGGCTGATACTCTTCCCTGCATCTTCCTGCTACTCAGACCTTTCATGACCATTCATGAGGGAATGGGCCAGCAGTGGAGTGTCCATTACTTCTCTAGGGCTTAAAGAAGAGATGCCTTTAAACATGCCTCTAAACACAGGTGTATGAAGACACTAAATGTTATGTAGAAATTGAGAAGCAAATCACTGCCAAACCTACTGCACTGCAATAGGTTTGTCTCTGGTGCTTTCTGAGCAGTGGAGGGATTTACACTGATAATCTGCCAGGGTTCTACATCTCTTATACTGTGAACAGATGTTCCTATGGGCAGCTGTCTCCACAATGCCCCTCTCTCTGTGGGTCAGTATGAACTGTCTGTTATCTTGCTTAGACGCAATACTTTAGAAAGTGCGCTCGTATCCCTCTGAACTAGAACAAACCAGAGCATCTGGCTACATGTGGAAATTCTGAAGCAGCCTTATAACCATATAAAAGACATAATTTGCAACAGCCAGGCAGAAATTCATGAAAGTTCATGCTGCTGCTCTCAGTCATGATGCTTTCACACAGAGCAGGGAAACGCACACAGCCGTTCCTGGGGCTTGTTGCCACCCACACATCAGGGCTCTTACTGCCCGCAAACCTGGCCTGGAGGCAGGCATGGTCCCAGCTTACACCATGCGAGTGTGTTATGAGTGCATGATGGGAGCTGGGAGGAAAGGGGATTCCTCACTCCATGCTCACCCTGCTTGTTACCTCCAGCCCCAAGACTTGGGTTTATAGGGATTTCTGATTACAGTCACCTTGAGTGTGGACAAGGTTTTCACCCTTCTTCTGTCTCAAAACCCACCAGTGGCAGATGCCATCGGTGATGACTCCTGTCAATGAGTGTGTGTTAGCTCACCTAAATAGTGAATTGGGGCTTAGAGCTCCAAGAGGGAGCTCTACACATAAAGAAGTTGATTTTCCTATTTTATTCCGCAAGTCAGGGAGTCAAATGGGGTTCAT